AGTCAAATAAATAAAATCTTTTAAAAAATAAATAAATAATAAATAATAAATAAAATATATATATGTATATAAATAAAAGAAATAGAAAGGTCTTGATCTCAGGGTCATGAGTTCAAGCTCCATGGTGGACTCCATTGCTGGACATGGAGCCTACTTAAAAAAAAAAAAGCAGCAGCCTAACAAAAGTTACTGGTGTTAATTGGAATCAATTTAGTACTAGTATCTAGTGCTATTTTTAGATACCCATGCCCTTGACCTAATTTCACTTCTCAGTACCTACAGAAATATTTATACATGCACAAAAATATGTCTAAAGGTAGTCATTCACTCTGCATTTCTTAAATACTGAAGAAATGGAAGTACCCTTAACATTCACCGATATGGGAATCTAAAAAATATAGTATACGTATCTATGGAATTAAATGCAACAACTTTTTCAAGAATATTTTCTAAGACATTAAGTGAATAACTTATTATGTAAAAATTATATATGTGATATATGTATGCAAATGCACAGAAAACAGCCTAGTGACATACACACCTTGTACTGCACTGAATAATGTCCCACAAAAATTCATGTCTTTCTAGAACCCTAGAACGTGAACTTATTTGGAAATAGAGTCTTCACAGATATAATTAACCAAGTAAAAATGAGGTCACAGGGCGCCTGGGTGGCTCAGTTGGTTAAGCGACTGCCTTCAGCTCAGGTCATGATCCTGGAGTCCCAGGATCGAGTCCCGCATCGGGCTACCTGCTCAGCGGGGAGTCTGTTTCTCCCTCTCCCGCTCCCCCCTCTTGTGCTCTCTCTCTCTCTCACTCTCTCTCTCAAATAAATAAAATCTTTAAAAAAAAAATGAGGTCACAGTGGATTAGGGTGGGACCTAAATTCAATGACCGGTATACTTATATAAAGGTCATATGAAGACATACAGGGAAGAAGGTCATGTGAAGATGGAGACAGAGAGTGTGACATTAGCTACAGGCCAATGAATGACAAGGACTGCTGGTAACCACCAGAAACTAGGAGAGAAGCATGGAACAGATTCTCCCTCAGGGGCTCCAGAAGGAAGCAACTTTGCCAACACCTTACTTTGAACTTCTGACCTCCTTGAACTGAGAGAAAATTTGTTGTTTTAAGCCACCCATTTTGTGATAATTTGTTGTGGCAGTGCTAGGAAGCTAATTTACACCTGTTTAACAATGGTTAGCTCTAAGGAAGAGATTCTACATATTTCTATATTGTGAGAATTTATTACTGCATGGCTAATTTTTTTGCCAATAAAAATAAATTATCCACATTTTATGCCGGAAGTTTTGACTCTGCCCCTTAATAACTATGAAATCTTCAACAAGTCATTAAACATATGAATGTCTCAATTGTTTTTTGTAAAATGGGGATAGTAACATCTACCCTCCTCACCTTCCAAGATGGTAGTGGAGTCCCCCTGGACCCTTTTTCTCTCACTGTCCACATCCATTCTTCCTCCAAAATGGTTCTATACTGACTATGAACACTTTTCCATTTACACTACCATTTCTGTCTCTAATTCATGTTGCCAGCCCCCAGCAGATTCATTTTACCAAAAACACCACTAAATGTTCCTTTTCTTTTTGAAGCCCTTCAACAGTTCCTCATCACCTATTAAATTAGATCCAAACTTCTTAGTAGTTCAAGACCTTCTACATTCTGAGCGCCACCTACCATCCAGCCTTATCAATCTCCACTGCTTCCTTGGTAGAGCGAAGCCAGGTTTGTGGATTATCCTTGAACCTTGAGCCTTGCCTTTCTCAGCCATGCCATTGTGTATGCTTACTCATGTAAATGGACTGTTCTCCATCCTAACCCCCTTTCCAGCTTTATGGCTTCTCCCATGGCCCCACAATAGAAGTATTTCACTGTCCTTTAATTCCTGTAGCACAAACCCTCAGTATTTTATGTATTTTAATCACCCCCCATTAAACTGCAAACTACTTTTGAGAAAAAGAACTTTATTCATGATGGTGCCTACCACACTATCTTATGGAGAGTAGGTGATCAATACATATTTGTCACATAAATGAATAACAGTGACAAAACACTTGACTTTTACAGAACTGATATGGGTTCTAAAATTGTTTTAAATTATAAACAAAAATCATATTCTGCCAGTACATACCATACCATCATACTGCTGTAAAATACTGAAATACTTCCCTACCAATGCTCCTTGCCACCTGAATGCCTCCCACTACCATTGTTGGCCTGTTTTCTCCTCCCCCAGGAACATCTGGGCTCCCGCACTCCCCTAACTAAAGAATTAATGTCTTCCACAGTGGGGAGCACTCAGGTCCCTGCCCCAGCCATATGGCCATATTCTGACTGATCAAGATATTTCGATAATTACCCCTTATTATATATAGTTTAACTACACAATTTGAAAAGGAGGCTTCTTCTCACTGCAAAATCTCTTGCAAGAGTCAGCAGATACAGGGATAGAAAGGAAAATGAAACTTTGTCAGTCTCTGAAGGTTTAGGGAACATCCCTTAGGACTCAATCTTCATGTAAACCAGAAGATAAGCAGTTTCTCTCCTAGAAAGAAAAAAAAATGCAACAGCATAACAGAAATGAAACATTCACAGTTAACTGACATATTATTAATTCATGATAGGACAAACATCAGAAAAGTTTCTGGTTGTTGGATCAAGTCTTCATCTATCCATCACCTCAGAAGGGAAAAAAATGGGTAACCTGGGAAAATAGACACTAAGCTTCTATTAGTTAACATCTGTATCAGGGGTTGACAAACTATCAGCCCACAAGCCAAATCTAACCCTGTTTTTGCAAATAAATTTAACCAGAACACAGCCACACTTATTCATTCACGTAGTGTCTGTGGCTGTTTTTGTGCTACAAGAACAGAGCTGAGTGGTTGCAACAGAAATTGTATGGCTCATAAAGCCTAAAATATTTACTCTCTGGCCCTTTACAGAAACAGTTTGCCAAACCCTGATTTAAATAATGGAAGAATTTCTGACAACCAGAAAGTGACAAAGAATGAGCATCTAAGGGAGATGTTCAGAAGAAAGAAAAGACAAAGATAAATAGAAGATTGTAAGAGGATTTCAAACACAAATTTTAGCTATTTCATTATTTTTTCAAGTGATCAGGCCTACTCCCGCAGCTAAAATCATTTCAAATATCACCTCTGGTATACAATGTCACCCCTAATCCAGAAACTCAACTGGAAAAACTTACAAAGTCTCTCTCCTTTAACTTCATCCAGAGGCACAGAGGTAAGATGGCAGAGGAGTGGGACCCTAATTTCATCCGGTCCTTGGAATTCAGCTATATAGCTATCAAATCATTCTTTTTTAAAAATTTAAATTCAATTAGCCAAGATATGGTACATCACTGGTTTTTGAAATAATGTTCAATGATTCATCAGATCAGTAGAACACCCAGTGCTCATTGTATCGTTCTAAACACCTGTGAACTCAACTGGAGATCTAAGAAAAGAACTGCTGCAATTCTACAAATAGAAAAGTGACCACTTTTTGCAAGGTAGGAGGTGTGGAGAAGTGAATCTGAGGTGATATATGGGAAGATAAAACTCAGGGGGAGGAAGCCTCTATAGCTGGCTACCAGAAAGTGATATAAGCAGCGGAGTGTAAAATCAGAATTTTTAGAACTCTGTTACAGCGGGGGACATCCCTGCTTGAAAAGCGCTCATGTGGCAAAGCAGGGCAGAATCCCAGGTGAGACGATATGGTCTCAGGATCCCCAGGGTCACAGATATAACAGGGTGCCTGAGTGTGGCAGAGTTCTCAAGCAGCAAGGAACCCGGCTGCAGAGAGCCCAGGAGTGGGTTTTCTGCTTGGTGTTGCCATAAACCTTGGACCGCTGCATGGTTGGGGGACCACTCTCGAAGCAGGGGCCCGGAAAAAGGCAAAACTGAGGCAAGAACCCCCTCCCTGCCCTGGGAGGAGCAGCACGGGTGTGCACCACAGGAGTCTGTAACAAATTTGGAGACTCAAAAGGGGGTCACATGCCTAAGATAAAAATGCTCCATCACAGGCTAGGTGAGCACTGCAGATGGAAACCAGGGAGACAAGAGTGATTGACTGCTTTTCCCTGAGGGCACACTGGTTAGTGGGGGGGGCGCAGTGCAAGCTTTCAACTCCAAGGCTGGAGATCGGGTCACCGTGATTTTCATTTTCATCCCCCAAATCAGTGCTGAAGCCTTCAGGGAACAAAACCCACACAGAGCAATCCAGAGCCATTTATACTGAGCTTAGCCCCCTTGGCAAGGGGGTGCAATACCGCCCAAGCAAAGACACGTTAGAATCAATGTAACAGGCCCTTCCCCCCAGAATATCAGCAAGAACATCTGGCTAATACCAAGTCTACTGACCATACAGTCCAGTGCTAGGAGAAAACCGTATGTAGAATTCATGGGTCTTTCTCATGATTCTTTAGTCTTTCACTTTTAAATTTTTTCCTTTTCACCTAATTTCTTATTTTATCAACTCTTTTTTAGGCGTTTTTAAATTTATACTTTTACATTTACATCTTACATATATTTACCATTTTTGGATTGCTTTCATTGTATTCAATTTTATTTTATTTTTGTGTGTGTGTGTGTACATATATATATATATGTTTTCTTTCTTTACAAATTGGGATCTAGTTTCTTCTGATGAACAGACCAAAATACACCCAGGATCTAGTTTATTATTCTGTTTTGTTCATCTTCTGTTTTATTCTATTTTTTTCTTTTTTGGCTTCTGATCTCTTCTGATTTGTTTAGTGTATATTTTCCTGTATATTTGTCAGTGTATATTTAGAAAAATATTTTCCTATTTTTATCTTTTCTGCTCTCTTTCATCTATTCTTCTCTGGACACAATGACAATGCAGAAGAACTCAACCAAAAAAGAGAACAAGAGGCAGTACTCACTGACAGGGATTTAATCAATATGGATATAAGTAAGATGTCAGAACTAGAATTTTATAATAAAACAGAACTAGAACAATAATAAAGATACCAGAGGACTTGAAAAAAGTATAGAAGACATCAGAAAATCTCTTTCTGGAGAAACAAAAGAATTAAAATCTAATCAGGTTGAAATCAAAATGGTATTACTGAGATGCAATCCAAAATGGAGGCTCTAACTGCTGGGATAAATGATATAGTGATATAGAAGACAAAATTATGAAGAATAAAAAAGCTGAGAAAAAGAGATATAAACAACTATTGGATCACGAGGGAAGAATTCTAGAGATAAGTGATACCATAGAGCAAAACAATATTACAATAATTGGGGTCCCAGGGGAAGAAGAGACAGACAGGGGGCAGAAGGTTTATTTGAGCAAAATATAGAGGAGAACTTCCCTAATCTGTGAAAGGAAGCAGGCATTCAAGTCCAGGAGGCCCAGAGAACCCCCCTCAAAATCAACAAAAATAGGTCAATACCTCAACATATAATGGTGAAGTTTGCACATTTCAGAGACAAATAGAAAACCCTGAAAGCAGCTCAGGACAACAGGTCCTTAATCTACAAGGGTAGAAACATAAGGCTGGCAGCAGACCTATCCACAGACCTGGCAGGCCAGAAAGGAGGGGCATGATATATTCAACATGCTAAAGGGGAAAAATATGCAGCCAAGAATACTTTATCCAGCAAGGCTGTCATTCAGAATGGAAGGAGAGATAAAAAGCTTCCAGAACAAACAGAAACTAAAAGAATTTGTGATCACTAAACCAGACCTGAAAGAAATATTAAAGGGGATCTTTTAAGTGAAGAGAGAGCCCAAAAGTAACAAAGTCAGAAAGAAAAGATGATCTAGAGAAACAGCAACTTTATAGTTAATACAATGGCACTCACTTCATATCTTGCAATAATTACTCTGAATGTAAATGGACTAAATGCTCCAATCAAAACACAGGGTATCAGAAAGGATAAAAACACAAGACCCACTGAAATGCTATCTATAAGAGACTTATTTTAGACCCAAAGACACCTCCAGATTAAAAGTGAGGAAGTGGAGAATCATTTATCATGCTAATGGATATCCAAAGAAAGCTGGAGTAGCAATCCTTATATCAGACAAAATAGATTTTAGACCAAAGACTGTAATAAGTGATGAAGAAGGGCACTCTATCATAATTAAAGGGTCTATCCAACAAGAAGATCTAGCAATTGTAAATCTTTATGCCCCTAGCTGGGAGCAGCCAATTAATAGGCCAATTAATAACAAAATTAAAGAAACACATTGATAATAATACAATAATAGGGGACTTTAACACCACACTCACAGCAATGGGCATATCATCTAAGCAGAATATCAACAAGGAAACAAGGGCTTTGAATGACACTCTGGACTAGAAGAATGTCACAGATATATACAAAGCATTCCATCTTAAAGCAACAGAATACACATTCTGGAACATTCTCCAGAAGAGATCACATATTGGATCACAAATCAGGTTTCAACCAGTATCAAAAGATTGGGATTATTCCCTGCATATTTTCAGACCACAGTGCTTTAAAACTTGAACTCCATCACAAGAGAAAATTTGGAAAGAACACAAGTACATGGAGGTCAAAGAGCATCGTACTAAAGATTATGAATGGTTCAACCATGAAATTAAAGAAGAATTTTTAAAAATTCATGGAAACAAATGAAAATGAAAATACAACTGCTCAAAATCTTTGGGATGCAGGAAAGACAATCCTAGAGGGAAGTACATAACAATACAGACCTTTCTCAAGGAACAAGTCTCACATATACAAGCTAAACTTACACCTAAAGGAGCTAGAGAAAGAATAGCAAATAAAGCCTAAAACCAGCAGGAGAAGAGAAATAATAAAGATTAGAGCAGAAATCAATGATATAGAAATAAAAGAAAAGAGTAGGACAGATCAGTGAAATCAGGAGCTGATCTTTAAAAGAATAAGATCGATAAACCTATAGCCAGACTTAACCAAAAAAAAAAAAAAGAGAGAGAGAGAAAGGCCACAAATTAATAAAATCATGAATGAAAGAGGAGAGATCACAACCTACACTAAAGAAATACAAACAATTATAAGACTATAGAGCAACAACATACCAACAAATTAGGCAATCTGGAGAAAAAGATGCATTCTTAGAAACATATAAACTACCAAAACTGAAACACAAAGAAATAGAAAACCTGATCAGACCCATAACCAGCAAGGAAATTGATGCAGTAATGAAAAAAACCTCCCAAATAACAGAGTCCAGGGCTGGGTGTCTTCCCAGGTAAATTCTACCAAACATTTAAAGAAGAAATCATACCTATTCTTCTGTTTCAAAATATAGAAATGGAAGGAAAACTTCCAAACTCATTATAAGAGGTCAGCATTACCTTAATCCCCAAACCAAAGACCCCATCAAAAAGGAGAATTACAGACCAATAGACCTGACGAACATGGATGCAAAAATTTTCACCAAGATACTAGCCAATAGGATCCAACATTCAAAGGATTATTCACCAGGACCAAGAAGGATTTATTCCTGGGCTGCAAGGATGGTTCAACATCTGTAAATCAATCAATGTGATACACCACATTAATAAAGGAAAGAACAAGAACCATATGATTCAATTGATGCAGAAAATGCATTTGACAAAGTACAGCATCCTTTCTTGATTAAAACTCTCTACAATGTAGGGATAAAGGGAAATTCCCTCAATATCACAAAAGCCATATATAAAAAGCCCACAGTGAATATCATTCTCAATGGGGAAAAATGAGAGCTTTTCCCCTAAGGTCAGGTACATAACAGGGATGTCCACTCTCATCACTGTTGTTCAACATAGTACTAGAAGTCCTAGCCTCAGCAATCAGACAACAAAAATAAAAGGCATCCAAATTGACAATGAAGTCAAACTTTCACTCTTCACAGATGACATCATACTCTATGTGGAAAACCCAAAAGACTCCACAAAAAAAAACTGCCAGAACTGATACAGCAAAGTGGCAGGATATAAAATCAATGCATAAAAGTCCGTTGCATTTCAATACAGTAGCAATGAGGCAATAGGAATTGATCCCATTTCCAATTGCACCAAAACGTATAAATACCTAGGAATAAACCTAACCAAAGAGGTAAAGGATCTGTACTCTGAAAACTATAGGACACTTACAAAAGAAATTGAGGAAGACAAAAAGACATGGAAAAACGTTCCATGCTCATGGATTGGAAGAACAAATATTGTTAAAATGTCTATGCTCCCCAGAGCAATCCATCCACTCAATGCAAACCCTATCAAAATACCATCAACCCTATCAAAATACCATCAACATTGTGTTAGAAGAAATAATCCTAAAATGTGTATGGAACCAGAAAAGACCCCAAATAGCCAGAGGAATGTTGAAAAAGAAAACCAAACCTGGTGACATCACATGCTGGACTTCAAGCTATATTACAAAGCTGTAATCAAGATAGTATGGTATTGGCACAAAAACAGACACACAGATCAGGGGAACAGAATAAAGAGCCCAGAAATGGACCCTCATGTCTCTGGTCAACTAATCTTCGACAAAGCAGGAAAGAATGTCCAATGGAAAAGAAGATAGTCTCTTCAACAAATGGTGCTGGGAACACTGGAAAGCCACATGCAGAAGAATAAAAATGGACCATTCTCTTACACCATACACAGAGATAAACTCAAGGTGGATGAAAGACCTCAATGTGAGACAGGAATTCATCAAAATCCTGCAGCAGAACACAGGCAGGATACTCTTGGACCTCAGCCCAGCAACTTCTTGCTAGATGCATCTCCAAAGGCAAGGGAAACAAAGGCAAAAATTACTTTTGGGACTTCATCAAGATAAAAAGCTTCTGCACAGCAAAGGAAACAGTCAACAAAGCTAAGAGGCAACCCATGGAATGAGAGAAGATATTTGCACATGTCTTATCAGATAAAGGGCTGGTATCCAAGACCTATAAAGAAATTCTCAAACTCAACACCCAAAAAAACAAATAATCTAGTCAAAAAATGGACAGAAGACCTGAAGAAACCTTCTCCAAAGAAGGCATACAAATGACTAACAGACACATGAAAAAATGTTCAATATCACTAGCCATCAGGGAAATACAAATCAAAACCACAAGGAGATACAACCTTACACCATTTAGAATGGCCAAAATTAACAAGGCAGGAAACAACAAATGTTGGCAAGGATGCAGAGAAAGGGGAACCCTCCTACACTGTTGGTGGGAATGAAAGCTGGTACAGCCACTCTGGAAAACAGTATGGGGGTTCCTCAAGATGTTCAAAATTGAGCTACCCTATGACCCAGCGATTGCACTACTAGGTATTCACCCCAAAGATACAGATGTAGTGAAAAGGAGGGCCACATGAACCCCAACGTTCATAGCAGCAATGTCCACAATGGCCAAACTGTGGAAGGAGCCAAGATGCCCTTCAACACATGAATGGATAAAGAAGATGTGGTTCATATATACAATGGAATATTACTCAGCCATCAGAAAGGATGAATACCCACCATTTGCATCGACATGGATGGAACTGGAGGGGATGATGCTAAGTGAAATAAGTCAAGCAGAGAAAGACAATTATCATATGGTTTCACTCATATGTGGACATAAGGAATAGAGTGGAGGACCATAGGGGAAGGGAGGGAAAACTGAATGGGAAGAAATCAGAGAGGGAGAGGAACCATGAGAGACTCTGGACTCTGGGAAACAATCTGAGATTTTCAGGGGGGTGGGGGGAATGGGGCAGCCGGGTGATGGGTATTAAGGAGGGCACATGTTGTGATGAGCATTGGATGTTATATGCAACTAAGGAATCATTGAACACTACATCAAAAACTAATGATGCACTATACAGTGGCTAACAGAACAATGTTTTTTAAAAAGATGAAATAAATAAATAAATAAACCCTTCATCCTGGGGCACCTGTGTGTTTCAGTCAGTTAAGTGTCTGCCTTCAGCTCAGGTCATGATCCCAGTGTCCTGAGATCGAGTCCTGCATCAGACTCCCTGCTCAGTGGGTAGTCTGCTTCTCCCTCTCCCTCTGCCTGCCACTCCCCCTGCTTGTGCTCTCTCTCTCTCAAATAAATTTAAAAAAAAAATCTTTAAAAAAAACCCTTCATCCGGCTTCTCTAGCTGCCCCCCTGTAGTTGTTGATTTTTAAAAACATATTTATAGCTATTTACTAAACGCAAGCCACTGTACCGGACAAAGAAAAAGAATGATCCTTTATCCCAAATAGCTCATGGTCTAATATAAAAGAAAATTATATATGAAAACAATTACAAATAGGGTGGTCCTTGCTATAAAGGACGTATGTTTAAAGTGCAGGGCAAGCATATGAGAAGCCCCTACAAATCTTCCAGCGTCAATCAGTGCAGGCTTTACAGAGTAGGAAAAGCCATGAGCAGAGATATAAAAGCATGAGTGGGTGTTTGCCTCAACAATAAATTAGGAGAGGAGAAACAAACCAGGAACTGCATGTGCAAGCTATGGAGGATATGATGTTTGGGGAGTAGTTATACTTTATTATTGGCATCTAAATTGTGAAAAATGCATGGTACGGTGAGATGTGTAATGAGAGATGAGGCTGAACACCTAGTCACTGGAGAGTTACCCAAATACAAGTGGCAGCTGAATCCATGGGAGTTTCATACAGCAATAAGAACCCTGTGTAAACTCATTGGGTTACCATCACTCAAACACTTACCAGCGGTAGTTATGATTTCCATAAGTACACTGGATGTCTTCCCAGGATACCTAGAAGTACATAAATGGATGAAGTGAAGCATCCAGCTGACATCTGTTAAGCACCCGGAGAGTATGGGGTGCTACAAGTTACCCTCCCTCACTCATCCAGACAAACCCACCCCTGTACCTCTCAAGACCTGGATCATCCGGTGATAGGATGCCATGTTTATGAAGCCTCTTTTATACCCTGTTTCCTCTATTTAAACTTGATTGTGCTTGGTTCTAACTTACATATATCTAACTCTTCTTGCTTTCTATAAATTTCCCAGAGCATGAAGACACCAAAAAACCTAGACACTGAGCTAAGTGAACTCTCACAGGGCTATACATCAGATGGGGACTTCATGCAGAAAAGGACTTTAAGCAGAATCAGACCTATATACAGAACAAACCGATGGTTGCCAGAAGGGAGGCGGGGATGGGCAAAATGGGTGAAGAAGAGTGAAAGATACAGGCTTCCAGTTATGGAATGAATAAGTCACAGGAATAAAAGGCACAACACAGGGCACCTGTGTTGCTCAGTCAGTTAAGCATTCGACTTGATTTCAGCTCAGGTCATGATCTCAGGGTTGTGAGATGGAGCCCCACATAAGGGCTCTGTGTGGAGCCTGCTTGGGATTCTCTCCCTATGCCCCACCCCCGCTTGTTCTTTCTCTCTCTCAAAAAGAAAAAGGCACAGCGTAAGGAATATAGTCAGTGATACTGTGATAGCATTGTACAGTGACAGATGGTAGCTACACTTGCAGAGAGCACAGCATAATGTATAAACATGTTGAATCACTATATTGTACACCTGGAACTAAGGTAACATTGTGTCAACTATACTTGAATTTAAAAAAGCTTTTTATAGGGAAAAGGACTGTTTAAAGTCCCCCACACACAGAGAGAACTGGCCCACAATGTATCCTGACCTTGAGGACCCATCTAGTCCTGGGCTCAGAATCTATTAGAGGTGCCTAATCCAGGACAAGAGGAAATTTTGGACGATGTTCTCACCCAAGAAACACTGGAATCGTTGAAGCAGAACCATTTTCCATCCACAGAATTCTGGATATAGGCACAGTAATGACCAAAATCAGCTGCCCCCACATGGGCAACCACAGCAAAGAGCTCGTACTGTCTTCCAAGCTGGAAGGACACAAGGCACAAAATTATTCACCCATCATCTCTCCTTTTCTAACCATAGTCTAAAATAAAGAAACATTATTTCATCACATTTATTTAGTGCCCACTCTGTACCAGGCAATGGTACTTCAATGGGGCTAGAAAATAGTCCTTGAACTCAAGAATCTCACAATTAATTAAGTCACAATTATAATGCCATGCCCCCAAAAAGGAGAAGGAATAATCATCTGAGAAAAGCTCCCCAGAGAGGACATGTCTGAATTGATCTTGAAGGATGAACAAGACTAGCAGATAAGTTCTAGGTAGGGAGTATACTCGAATGGACCCCAAAATTGCAAAGACTTGGCAGCATAGCAGAACAGAGCATGTTGAGGAAATGGGAGTCAGAGAGGGTGCTGGGAAGTCACAAGATATGTGGCTACAAAGGTTAAGTCAAGAATTAGAACTTTAGGGGTGCCTAGGTGGTCCAGTTGGTTAAATGTCTGCCTTTGGCTTGGGTCATGATCCAGGGGTCCTGGGATCATGCCCCGTGTCAGGCTCCCTGCTCAGTGGGGAGCCTGTTTCTCCCTCTGCCCCTCCCCCTGCCTGTGCTTTCTCTCAAGTAAATAAATAAAATCTTAAAAAAAAAAAAGAATTAGAACTTTATTTCTTTATAGTTTCAAGCTGTTTATTTCAATTTCAGTTAGTCACACCGAAAGGATATGGAGAAGGAACAGTAAATAAAGCCTAAACCAAGCAGGAGAAGAAAAATAATAAAGATTAGAGCAGAAATCAATGAAATAGAAACTAGAAGAACAATAGAACAGATCAACAAAACTAGAAGCTGGTTCTTTGAAAGAAGTGATAAGATCAATAAATGTCTGGCCACACTTATCCAAAAGAAAAGAGGAAGGACCCAAATTAATAAAATCATGAATTAAAGGGGAGAAATCAGAAGCTATATGCCAACAAACTAGGGAATCTGGAAGAAATGGATGCATTGCTGGACACTTATAAACTACCAAGACTGAAACAGGAAGGAAAAGACAATCTGAACAGAGCAATAACCAGCAAGGAAATTGAAACAGTCATCAAAAATCTCACAAAAAACAAGAGCCTAGGGCCAGATGGCTTCCCAGGGGAATTCTACCAAATATTTAAAGAAGAAATCATACCTATTCTTCTGAAGCTGTTCCAAAAAAATAGAAATGGAAGGAAAACCTCCAAACTCATTCTATGAGGCCAGCATTACCCTGATCCCCAAAAGAGACAAAGATCCTACTGAAAAGGAAAATTACAGACCAATATCCCTGATGAACATGGATGCCAAAATATTCACCAAGATCCTAGCCAACAGGACCCAACAGTACATGAAAAGGATTATTGACCACGACCAGGTGGGATTTTTTCCTGGGATGCAAGGGTGGTTCAACATTCACAAAGCAATCAACGTGATAGATCACATTAACAAAAGAAGAGACAAGAACCACATGATCCTCTCGATGGAGAATAAGCATTTCACAAAATACAGCATCCTTTCCTGATTAAAACTGTTCAAATACAGGGATAGAGGGAACATACCTCAACACCATAAAGCCATCTTTGAAAAGCCCACTGCACATATTCTTAATGGGGGAAAACTGAGACTTTTTCCCTTAAGGTCAGAAACATGACAGGGATGACCACTGTCACTACTTTTCTTCAACACAGTACTAGAAGTCCTAGCCTCAACAATCAGACAACAAAAAGAAATAAAATGCACTCAAATTGGCAAAGAAGAGGGGCGCCTGGGTGGCTCAGATAGTTAAGCGTCTGCCTTCAGCTCAGGTCATGATCCCAGGGTCCTGGGATCAAGCCCCACATCGGGCTCCTGGCTCAGCGAGGAGCCTGCTTCTCCCTCTCCCTCTGCCCCTCTCCCTGCTCATGCTTTCTCTCTATCTCTGTGTCTCAAATGAATAAATAAAATCCTAAAAAAAATGGCAAAGAAGAAGTCAAACTCTCTCTCTTCGCAGACAACATGATACTTAATGCGGAAAACCCAAAAGACTCCACCCCAAAATTACTAGAACTCATACAGCAATTCAGCAATGTGGCAGTATACAAAACCAATGCACGGATCAGTTGCATTTCTATACACTAACAGTGTGACTGAAAGAAGAGAAATTAAGGAATTGATTCCATTTACAATAGCACCAAAAACCGTAAATTACCTAGGAATAAACCTAACAAAAGAGGTAAAGGATCTATACTCCAAAAACTACAGAACAGTTATGAAAGAAATTGAGGAAGACACAAAGAGATGGAAAAACATCCCATGTTCATGGACTGGATGAATAAACATTGTGAAAATGTCTATGCTATCCAGAGCAATCTACATATTCAATGCAATCCCTTTAAAATCCCATTGAGAGGGGAGGAGCAAGATGGCGGAGGAATAGTAGACCTAAATTTCGTCTGGTCCCAGGAATTCAGCTATATAGGTTATCAAACCATTCAGAACACCTACAAACTCAACAGGAGATCGAAGAAAAGAATAGCAGCAACTCTATGAACAGAAAAGCGACCATTTTCTGGAAGGTAGGACATGTGGAGAAGTGAATCCGAGGCGATACTGAGGAGGATAGACGGCGGGGGAGGGGGCCTCCATCGGCCACTTCTGGCAAGTGATAGAGCGGCACAGCACAAAATCAGAACTTTTAGAAGTCTGCTCTACTGAGGGATGTTGCTCCAGTGGCTAAGCCAGGGGTAGAATCCTTGCTCAGATAATGTGGTCTCAGGACCCTCAGGGTTCACAGAAAGACCTGGGGTGCCTGAGCACGGCAGAGCTCCCAGGTATCAGAGCAGGGAAGCTGCCTGCAGAAATGGAGCCGAGGAGCGGGCTCTCAGCTCGGGGTTGCCATAAACCGTGATCCACGGCACAGTCGGGCCACTGCTCTTCCAGCAGGGACCCAACAAGCAGCAGATCCGGGGAGACTTCCCTTCCTCCCCC